AGTTCAAGCAAATAAATCACAGCAACCCAGAAGCAACTAACCTTCACACAGACCAAAACTACATGGCCATAGATAGAAAAGAAAAAGACTGGATAAAAATGAGAGAAAGCCCTTCTTCCTCAATCTCCCCAATGTTCAGAAAATACCTCTGCTTAGAATCATAGAATCATAATGGTTGGAGAAGATCTTTGAGATCTTCAAGTGCAACCGTAAGCTCCTCAACACCATAAATGTTAAACCATGTCCCTAAGCGCCTCATCTACACATTTCTTGAACACTGCCAGGGATAGTGACTCCATCACTTCCCTGGGCGGCCTGTTCCAGTGCTTGACTATTCTTTCCATGTAGACATTTTTCCTATCATCTAACCTGAACCTTCCCTGGCACAACCAGAGGCCATTTCTTCTTATCCTGTTGGTAGTTATTCTGGAGAAGAGATCAAGCCCTTCCTCACTACAACCTCCTTTCAGGTAGTTGTAGAGAGCAATAAAGTCTCCGCTAGCCTCCTCCAGACTAAGTAACCCCACCTCCCTCATCCACTCTTCATAACGTCTGTGCTCCAGCACCTTCATTCCACCAGCTTCATTCCTCTTCCTTGGACACACTGTAGCACCTCAATGTCCGTCTTGTGGTGAGGGGCCCAAAACTGAACACAGTATTTGAGGTGCAACTTCACAAGCTCCGAGTACAGGGGGCCAATCACTTCCCTAGTCCTACTGGCTACACTATTCCTGATACAGGCCAGGATGGTGTTGGCCTTCTTGGCCAGCTGGACACACTGTTGCCTCATGTTCAGACAGCTGTCGACCAACAGCCCCAGATCCTTTTCTGTCACACAGCTCTCCAGCCACTCTGCCCAAAGTCTGTAGCCCTGCATGGAGTTGTTGTGACCAAAGCGCAGGACCCAACACTTGGCCTTGTTGAACCTCATACAGTTGGTTTCAGCCTATCAATCCAGCCTGTCCATATCCCTCTGAAAAGCTTTCCTACTCTCCAGTCTCTGTTCTCCCTCGGAAGGGAGTTGCCCTCAGCAACTACCTTTCTTTTTGTGGAGGCAATCTTGCATCCCAAGGCAAGAATCATAGAATCATTAATGTTGGAAAGGACCTTTAGAGATCATCTAGTCCAACCCCGCTGTACACGCAGGGTCACCTAGAGCACGTGGCATGTGCAGGATTGTGTCCAAGCGGGTTTGGAAGATATCCAGAGAAGGAAATTCCATAACCTCTCTTGGCAGCCTGTTCCAGTGCTCTGTCACTCTCACTGTTAGGAAATTTTTCCTTACGTTCCTGTGTAACGTTTGGTGCTTCTGTTTGTGGCCATTTCCTTTTGTCCTATCGCTGGCCACCACTCAAAAGAGGCTGGCCTCATCCTCCTCACTCCCTCACTTAAGGTATTTATATACACTGATTAGATCCCCTCTCAGCCTTCTCTTCTTCAGGCTGAACAGGCCCAGCTCTCTCAGTCTCTCCTCATAGGGCAGATGTTCCAGGCTCCCTGATCATCCTCGTAACCCTGCACTGGACTCTCTCCAGTAGTTCCCCAGTAGTCCCACAAGCATGGGCTTGACTGCCTTGCCCTAGAAAACCCCCTAGATGGACCTTGGTCTGTACCCTCATTTGGCTGTCCTTTGAGCTCCAGGGCCTCATACCTATTGTGTATGGACACCTGGGGAGGTGAGATGGGCTGGGATGGAATTCTTCTGCCACACCAAGCAGGGACGTGTTTCCATTCCTCATTCCTTAATTCTACCCTGTCTGCCCTACAGCAAGAAGGTAGGGGATCCTCAGGTGGATTTGGAGTATTCCCCCAGTGCAATCTTGAGCTGACTGCAGGGTGTGGCTCCACCAATCTATCACTTTCTCATACTCTCTGATGGGTCATAGTCTTTCTACCTCCTTCAGTGATGCCCCCAAGCCAAGAAGTTCAACTGCTTGTTCAGACCTAATGCAGCTGTTGTCTCTGCTACCCACTGCTGACACTGAGAGGCTGAGACACTCCACACAGCCAGAGCCCTGGATCGCTGCATATGGGGGGCACATCTCAGTCTGCTTCCCCACGATCTTCCTGGTGCTGACTTGGTCTGCCGAGTAGACACCATGGCTTTGGCTGATTCCTCACTGAGGTGACTGACAGAGGGGAGAGCTCTCCTGAGCTGGGAGCAGCACTCCTGTCTCCCTACATGCGCCAACTGCCACACTAACTAATTAGTGGCTGTGCTAACTAAGGGCAGCGCCATGCCATGCTTGCCCTCCCTGCTCGCCCCACCTCTGGCCGCTCGCACTCCTTGGGGGCCGCTCTTGTACGCACAGGGCTAGGGCTGCATTCCCTGCTGGCGCCACCCCTGCTGCCTCAGAGGCGCCTCTCGTGACGGAGTCACGCTGCCCATTCGGTGGGACTGGGGCTGCCTCGCGCTCCCTGCGCTTTCCCGCTTTGCGACCATGGCTGCGGTTTTGCTTCCCAGGCAAAGTCCCCCGGCATGAGTATCCATTCCAGAGCCCTTCCCTTCAAGATCTCTTGAAGTCTTTCATGCATCACAATGTATCTTTCTGCAGTCTGACCGCATGACAGACGGCCGGAGAACTACATGTCCCCGAGGAGGTGGTACCAACCTTGGAATTAATGAACAAAATTGTTTCCTCATTAATGAACCTTCAGATGGTTCTCCAGTTTTTCCAGTTCCAACTACATCCTCATGTTTATTTGTGTACTGTCTACATTGTAACAGAAATCTGCAGGGCTTAGACCCCAAACAGGCATAATGCTTTAAAGTGTGTGTGTATGAACGCATGAGCATAGGTGGTTGCTGAGAGAAGAGAGAAAATTCCTCTCCTGTAACACTGCTCTTATTTCTAGAAGATTCATGAGAGATAAGGGAAAATGGAGATTTTGGGGGTTAGACACTCTGCACTCAAGGATAAAACCAGGGGCACCACCTTAGCAGGAAGATAGCCAGGTTCCTGACAGCAGAGCAGATAGGAAATGCAGACCAAATCATCTCCACAGGCTGTAGAAATAAACTTTGAGGAATTGTATCAAACGATTGGAAAGAATCTAAAACTAACTTTAAAAGTTAATAAAAGAAGCAGCACAGACTGTGCTACTTGTTGCTTAGAGACTGGGGTTTACTGAGGACATTGGCGCAGCTCAGTGCAGCAACAGAGGGACCTGCTGCCCGGATCCTGGCACAACACAGGGCTGGTGTTTCACCAGGGCACTACTTTCCCTTCCCAGTTCAGGAAAGTCCCGGTGTCCTTCTCAGACAGCGAGCAGAGCACCTTCAGCATCCCTTGTACGCTCACGTCCATTGTCAATGGGGGCTGCAGGGACAGAGCAGAAACACAGTCATGAGTCCAAGACCTCCTGGAGCTCTCACCTGGCTCCCTCTCAGGCCACTGTCTCCTTGGACCGGGAGCTTGGGGTCTCTAGGATGAGTGAAGGGAGGAGACACCAACACTTCTCAGGAAGACTCCCTGTCTGTCACCTCCTTCCCTCCTGTGCCTCAAGCTCAGGGAATTGTCCAGACAGCTCCATCAGAGCCCACCAAGTCTCAGGATTTTTGGGACGCAAGAGTCTCTGCATTCCTGAACAAATAGCATCCTCTGGACCCGCCCCATCAAAAAAAATAAACCCTACCTTAAGTCCCGAACTGGTCCCCATGTCCGTTTGCACCCAGCCAGGGTGGAGGGCAGCACAGAGGATGCCGTGTTCCCGGTAGCCCAAGGACTGGCACTTGGTGAGCATGTTCAGAGCAGCCTGCAGGGAGATACCCTTAGGATCATAGTGAGGAGGAAAAACAGCCCCCTCCCAAAGGGAAGATGCACAGACGCCAAGGCGGGGGCAGAGCAGGGCAGGCGAGGAGAGCTCCCAGGACACACAGGGCTCCCACAGTCTCCAAGCACAGACACCCAGCGCAGCTGGAGGCTGGTCCCTGCACAGGTCTCAGAGAATGAGTCTGGGACCTGGCCTAGAGCATCTGCGGGCAGGGACAGGAAAGGGCCGAGCGTCATAGTGGGAGAGAAAGAGGCCGCCAAGAACTGGTGCAAGTGGAGAGAAGTGGAGGGAGGGAAGGAGGAGAGTCACAAGAGGGCCTGGAGGCGTTCTGGAGAGAAAATATGTGGAGGTTCATGTCTAGCATAGCGTGGCAGTACCTTGCTGCAGCGATAGGAGATAATTTGCCCCAAATCCCATAAATACACTTCCTCAACGGAGCCGGCAGAGCTGGACATGTTGATGATGGCTGCCCTGCTGCAGCTCAGTTCAGAAGTTGGGCTTCCCTGGGCAGCCTTCTTCAGCAAGGGCAGGAACGCCTGCAAGGAGACGGAAGAAGGGCCTCTGTGCGTGTGGGTCAGAAGAGGACCTGGTGCTTCCACCTTGCATGACACAAGACACAAGCACCAAGTCGGTGAGCAGATTGCTGCTCTCACAGAAGCAGAAGACCGGGTTTGTTCTCCTGGGCACTGACCCATGGTTCCTTGCAATGCCCAGCTGAGCTGGAGAATGCCAGGACAGGAGTCCCTTGGGCAGCAGGCCAGAGAGCAGGCCCTTCCCTTCAGAGTTTCCCATCTGGCTGCAATGTCCCAGCTGGGGAGCTGGTGCTGAGAAGAAGGGATGATCCCCTAGGGCTGAGTTGTCAAGCCACAGCTCTGGGTCCTCACCTGGCTCACCAGCAGGGGCCCAATCGTGTTGCTGTCATACACTGCAGACATTTCTTCCCGCGTCTCGGTATCAAGTGAATTCCACTTCACAATTCCAGCATTGTTGATGAGGAGGTTGAGCCCAGAGCCCTTCAGGTGCTCTGTGACGCTGGCTGCAGCCGCCTGGATGCTGGTGGGGTCAGTGACTTCTACAATGTCAATTTTGCAATTCCAGCGTTGTTGATGAGGAGGTTGAGCCCAGAGCCCTTCAGGTGCTCTGTGACGCTGGCTGCAGCCGCCTGGATGCTGGCGGGGTCGGTGACTTCTACAGAGCCAACACAGGGGGAGGTTAGTGCCCCATTTCCCTCTGTAACTCCCACCACCATCAATAATGGGACAAGAGCCCCGCCTGCCTCAACCTTGGTGCACAGCCAGGAGCACCTACCAAGTTGGATGATGACCAGGCTGGGGTGCTTGGAGGCCAATTGCTGCAACTCCTACAAGAGAGGGGCAACAGAGAGGCAGGGACACATGTGCAGAGGGCTCTCTCAGCCTGCCCCATGCACAGCCCCTGGCACTGCCACTCTGCCCCTGCACTCCCCCTGCCCGGCGCCCTCCCTGCATGTCCTGCTCCAGTCGGGCAGGGCTCTGCGTCTCCCGCACGCACCATGTGCCACTGCTTCACCCGCTGCCCCCCTCCTGCAGAGAGCAGCCCTTCCCTGTAGCCTTGAGCAGACGGGTGCTGTGCCAGGAGCTCCCTTGCTGTCCTCGAGGAGCCCTGGACACTCCGCACACCCCATGCACAGCTCGTCCCATGGCCGTGCTAGCCCGGCTGCCCTGCGACAGTGCCCTGCGACGGTGCCAAGACGATGCCCTGGCAGCGCCTGCTGCCCTGCACTTCCACCCCCTGCAAAGACAGCTCTGAGGAGCCTCACCTGTGCTTTCTCTCCCTTGGGGTCCCGGCAGGCTGCAAAGATCCTCTCGGGAGGGTTTCGAAACTGCAGGAAATGTTTGACCAGTCCCAGGCCAATCCCTCGATTGGCCCCGGTCACCAGAACGGAGCGGACATGAAGCTCTGCCATGCTGCTCCTCCTGCCTCTGCTCTTCCTTGCATACTCCACTCAGTTCCCGATGCTACTTATACCCTGTTCAGCTGCCACCCCACCCACTTAGTGGTTGCACAAGCCTTTGGGTGTAGGCACAGTCTTTCCAGCTCTTCAAACTTTCTATGTCACAGGTCCTGGCTGGGAGCCACTCCTAGTCACTGCAAAGGGTAAAAATTACTTGACTTGAGCTGCTTCTAGAGTACCCTGTGAAGCAGGAGCCATCAGCCAGTCTGCCCAGAAGAAGCTGTGCTGAAGGGGGAGGCAGTGAGCCGGCTGTGGAAGGGACACAGGATGCTTCATGGCTCTGCTGGGCTGTGGTGGGCAGAGTCTGCACATCAACCCTTTGCTGTTCAGACACTGCATCCAGTTGGATGCTGCCTCACCATGCACTAAGCTAAGCAACTACTCCAAGAACTTATGTCCACAAGAATCATGCTGGGGTCATCACTGTTGTCATGAGCTCAACTCCCTCCTTTCCTTTTAACCTACTCAATTATTTTATTGTGATTCCTTACTCTTTTATGTGTGACTGTTGTCATGCTTGTTGGGAGCAGGATAAAACTGGACCTTTTGCCTAACAGAATTAGCTTGGTCTGACACAACTGGCACTGGAGGCTGTTTAGTCTCATTCTCATGCCCGAGACCTAAATATGGTCATGGTCAACGAATCAATTCTCATAGCAGGCTGCTGCCTGTGAATTCAGTACCTCTTTGTTCCCTCCACAGAATGGCTCCTCAGACTCTGGAATTAGTCAGAGTGATAGGGAGCAATGCCATGGGCTGCCCTCTTCTTTGCTCACCCTAAGGACCACAGAGGCAGCTCAGCCCAGCTCTACCCGTGTTTCACTCCTCCCCAGCTGGAGGCCCTGCCTGCTGCAAGCTGGCTGCGCCGGCCATCTCCTTCCTACTGGAACCAAGGGAACCTGGCCTGTCCATGGTGGATCTTCCCCATCCACTGCCCTTCTGCCTACGATGTCTGACCATCTCCCTATCAGTGGTCTGGGTCAGGGATGTTCAGGACCATTCTGAAACTCAGGGTTTGTCATTATTAACAGAGCACTGGTGTTTTTGTGCCAGGAATTCCTGCCTCTCTTGGCGAAGGTGGCAAATGACTAGGGAAGGAGGGGCCAAAATGCAGCAGGGCTGTGATCTTCAGTGTGTTCACCAAAATGAGCTCCATCAGGTTGTACCTTCGGTTGCTTGATTCCCCCCATTGTACCACATCATGTCAGCAACCAGAGGAGGTGCCAAAAGATGTGCAGGGCTGCTCTGCTGTCCCAGGCACAGCACCCATGGAGCAGAGCCCGTGGGACCTCCACGCACCCCTGCCCCAGGACATCCAGCCTCTGCCTGGTCCTCCCAGTGCAAGCACCAAGGCTGCCAGCCTGGCATTGGCAGCATCTGGGAGGGAGCCCTTTGGGCCAGTGCTTTCCCCCAGGATAAAGTGCCACTTCCCAGCCCCACACGCAGCTCCCAGCTTGCAAATCCCTCCGCTCCCGCCTCCGTGCACCCCAGCATCCATCCCCTGCCCTGAGTGGTGCTGGTC